AAGATGAAAATACAGAGAAATTCATCCCACCACTATTATGATGAAAACAATTCACATGTTCTTCAATGTGCAGCAGATCACATAAATCAGAATGAAACTATAGTGTAGAATATTATACAATAATATAAAGGAAGGAGAAATGATCTAAATGTACTAAGAAGAACAATTGTTCAGGATATTCTATAGAGTAAATCAAAGGTTACATTAGATAATGGTTAGTACAGACATTTGTGTTAAAAATACATAGTATGTATAGAAATCAGAATATAATATGAGATACAGACTAAGCGAAACTGTAAGCATTTAGTAGGTGGAGTTAGGAAAGCCTTGTTTGTTATTCTTACTCTATTATACAGTTCGTGTTGGGTTCAGGCTCAAAGACACAGCTGGGATTCAGCCTAAAAAAGTTCCCACAGGCCCTGGCCAGTTTGGCTCAGCGGTTAGAGCGTCGGCCTGTGGTCCGGAGAGACCCGGGTTCGGTTCCCACTAAGGGCATGTACTTCGGTTGCAGTTTGTCCCCGGCCCTGGTTGGTCGTGCGGGTGGCAGCCACTCGATGTGTTCCTTCACATCGATGTTTCTCTCTCTCTCTCCCTTCTTCTCTCTCCCTCCCACTCTATCTGTACAAAAAATGGAAAAATATCCTCAGGTGAGGATAAAAAAAAAAAGTTCCCACAGGATGTTTAGATTTAGGGTGTAAGGTCTAGGCCACCCCTGAGAGGGGCTGAGGGCAAGAAGATTGGTCACATTGAAGGACCAGGGACACAGCACATTCCTGAGTTGTGCAGGTCCTTGACCGCTGCTGCTGCCCCTCAGCACCAGTACCTGCTCCTTCCCTTGGTAGCTGGCACCGAGGATGGTGGGGCTAGAACGTGCTGGGGTCAAACCCCTGACCTGGTAGGGTAGCCCCAGAGCTGGATTCACCTGAACTTCAGGACCCTAAGAGTTGGAATAGGGCAGGTGTGCTAGAAGAGGGCCACTCTGCACAGAGCTGGACATGGTTTCATCCCAACCTAGTCTAGAGCCCAGGTGCAATAATGTGGTACATGTTCTGTGTTTCCACTCGCTTTCTATGACAAATAATGTGATGAATTCAAACCTTGCCCACATTTCAGAGGTACTGGCATTTTTGAGTCAAAAGTGGTGAATAAAGCTTTGGATTCACCTTGTTCAAACAGCATCTATAAAAATTGTTCCAATTTAGTTCCAGTGGTGGGCGCTGCTGGTCTCCATGCAACTTTACCAGCACTGATGTTTTTGTGATTCTTTTTAATTTGACTGTTTTTTTTTTTTTATTGTGTGTGTGTTTTAACAAATTGAAGTTTATTTATTTATTTATTTTGCATTTATCTTCAGATAGAGCGGGAGGGAGAGAGAGAGAGAAACATCGATGTGAGAGAGGCACATCGATTGGTCACCACCACATGACCTCAACCGGGGAGGGGACAAACTGCCACCGAGGTTCTTGCCCTTAGCGGGAACCGAACCCAGGACTCTCTGGTCCGTGGGCTGACGCTCTAACCACTGAGCAAAACTAGCCAGGGCACACCTGGCATATTGTTAAGGTTTTCATATGACTTTGAAAAATGGTAAAGTAAAATTGACCATAGGATATTGATGTTTTTATTTCTGTACATTTCCAGTTCGGGTTGTGGGGTTGGAGAGATGGGAGTCGGGAGATATTAGGAATTATTTTCCATGGTTTCATATACCCATTCTCAGTGTTTGCATATGTGAGTGCAGATATTAGGTCCATGGATGGGTATTAAGAAAAATGTACTGAGGACTCTGGCCTTGCAGGGAGCCTCTGCACATCAGTGCTCCCCTCCAGCACCCTGGAGGGGAGATATATTAGCTTTGGCTTCAGAAAAATCAGCACTGAGGTCTCACACACTTAGCAGTTACCAAGTTTTTGCCCTGACAGAACTCAGTCTTCCATCCTGGCCAATGGGAAAAGACTCATTGTGTCTGTGGACCAATGGGAGAATAGGAATTAATACTACCATGTGGAGAACAATCAGGTTTTTAAAAGACATTGGCTTGAGCCCCGCCAATGGGACCAATCACAGCGAGGGGGCAGGACTTCCTGGGGGGGGCGGGACTTCCCAGAAATCAGAGCTTCATTTGTTTTCCATCTTGAATGACCCTTTGCCAGGCCATTGGGAGAAGGTTCATTCTCTCCTGAAAATTAAAGTATGACCTTACCCAGGGAGAGGGCACAGGGTAGTCCTGGAAACCAGGGGCAGGACCAATAATCTAATTCACAGGTCCAGTGGAAAATAAATATATGAATTTATTTATTTCATGTTCAAATATATGAATTTCAAGACAAAAAAAGGCTCACCAGGGCTAATTTTAAAAGCTTTATTGCTGTTTTATATAAGTTTTATTTATTGTTGACAGTATTACAAATGTCCCTCATTTCCCCCCTTCCACCAGGCCCTGCCCCTGCCCCTCCCCAGGCCTTTACCACACTACTGTCTAGGTTCCTGGGCTATAGCTATAGCTATAAAGTTATTTGGTTAATATCTTTCTGTTCCACCCACATTTTAAATTGACATTATTCAAAATATAGTAATAACAGTTTACTACACATTTTTGTCATACAAGTCTATTTTTAGCTCGTGGGATTTGGCCCACCAGCTGTAGTCTGTTTCAGCAATGCATAGTGAAATATTTAAGAAGGTCCCGGCTGGTGTGGCTTAGTGGATTCAGTAAATTGAGTGGCATCCCGTGGACTGAGAGATCCCAATTTGATTCCCTGTCAGAGCACATGCCGGGTTTCAGGCTCAATCCCCAGTAGGGGGCGTGCAGGAAGCAGCCGATTGATGTTTCTCTCTCACATCAATGTTTCTCTCTCTCTCTCTCCCTTCCTCTCTCTCTAAAAAAATCAATAAAAACATATTTTAGAAAAAAATATTTCAGCATTAGAGAAGTGTGTGGGAGTATGAGTGAAAGAAGAATTAGTTTTGCATTGTTCATTGTTAAGTTGGATGGTGGTAGATGAGGGTTCATTATACAATCCTCTCTGTTTCACATAGGTTTGAAGCTTTCCACCATAAACATTACGTGACAATTTTTTAATTGAATTTATGGGGTGACATTGGTTAATAAAATTATATAGGTTTCAGGTATACAGTTCTACAATACATCATCTATTTATTGTATCATGTGTTTAGCATTCCAAGTCAAATCTCCTTCCATCACTATTTATTCCCCCCTTTACCTTCTTCTACCTCCCCCCACCCTCTCTTCCCTCTGGCAGTCACCATACTGTTATTTGAGTTCATGAGTTTTTTGGGTTTTTTTTTCTTTGCTTAATCCTGTCACTCAGCCCCCTCTGACAGCTGTCAGTCTGTTCTCTGTATCCATAAGTCTGTATTAGTTTATTTTGTTCATTTGATTCCACATAGAAGTGAAATCATATGGTACATATTTGTTATTCTATGACTGGCTTATTTCACTTAGCATAATGCTCTCCAGTCCCATCCATGCTGTCACAAAGGGAACCATTTCCCTTTTTTACTGCAGAGTACTATTCCGTTGTGTAAATTTACCACAGCTTTTTTATCCACTCATCTACTGATGAGCACTTGGGCTGCTTCCAAATCTTGGCTCTTTATGTTGAGATGACCCTTGGGTAGCCCCTCCAGACATGCATCCCTGGCACCGGGGATTTAGTGTTCGGCATGAAAGACTTCCTCCAGATTTCTGGTATTGGGGGCCTTTTATGGCGTGTCAGAGAGGCTGATGCATGCAATGCATCTTGCAACCCTAGAAGGTGGCTCCAAATACCTACTGATCAGATAGAGTTGGTCACCTGACCAGAATGCACCCAAATCATTGGTTATTCAATGACCTATGATGTGGCTGAAGGAGAAAAGTTGAGTTGGGCCAATTGGATTTTATTTCATGAAAATATGATCTGAGAAATGCTGGGAGCCCTGGCTGGTGTGGCTCAGTTGGTTAGAGTGTCCTCCCCCTATGCCAAGGTTGTGGGTTCGATCCCCAATCAGGGCACGTATGAGAATCAACCAATGAGTGTATAAATAAATAAATGGAGCAACAAATTATATTTCTCTCTCTCTCTAAAAAATTAATTAGTTTTAAAAAACCCTGGGAGAATGTGATGGTTGAAGGTGAAGTTGAAAGATTTGAAGTAGAGAGAGAAATGGAAGAGGGCATGAGGGAGCAGATACTCTGAAAATGCAGAAGCAGTAAAGTAGAGTAGTAACATCAAATGAATGAATTAGCAAGAAAGTCATAGCACATACTGAAGAAGCACGAAGATACACAGAGGGGAGCCAGTCTCCACCTTGTTGCGATGTATTTGTAGCCTCACAACAACTACCCGCACCATGCACATCTTTCCCAAGAACTACCCCAAATTTCCTCTTCTCCATACTTCAACTTGGACACCAGCAATGACGTGCCTCAGTTACTTCTGCCACAGCAGTTGCACTCTAAGCTGTAAGAAAGATTGCTTTTCTCCTGACAGAAAAGAAAAATTGGTCTCTCAGAAATCTGAGGGCTGTTAATGTCCTATTTCTTCACCTGGGTGGTGGTTTTATGGGTGTTTATGAGTGCATATGTCCAGTCAATGACATTCCTGCACCCTACTCTGCATACCTCAAAATTTTAACAATTAGTGAAGAAGAATCTCCCCCCAAAGGTCAAAAACACTTTAGCTGCTCACGAAAAGGAAACATAAACTCTTCCAAATCTCTTTCACAGGACGGGCCATTGGATATTAGAAAAGTTATATGTCTTCTGTCCCCTGAAATTAACCTCCCCTTTCTCCAAGTCCCTCCAGAAAAAGGGGGTCTCTCTTCAGGCAGTGGTGATGGCTGGAGTGGCCATGGGGTCCTGGTCCCTCGAGACCACCTGTCAAGCCTCCCATCAGGGCACAGATCCTGTCCCTCCACTTCTCCCAGCAGGACCAAAGCAAGACAAAGAGCCAGGCCGTGGTTTTGGGTTTATTGTGGGGGATCCAAAACTTGTCTTATGCTGAGCTCCTGCTGCCTATGGTCTTCTTGATCCAGTCCAGGTAGCGGCAGAGGTTGGTGTAGACGCCAGGTCTCTGGGGCTGCCCACAGGGGTCCGATCCCCAGGATGTGATACCTTGGAGAACGCCACCACACACCAGTGGGCCCCCGGAATCACCCTGGAGGGGATAGGGGGAGTTTCACCTAAGGTGCCCAGCTGTACCCAGCATTTAGCAAGCTCTGTACCAAGATTGGTCCCCTCCAGCCACTGGGGATAAGAGCATTGCCCCCTGGTTAACCGTTGGCTAGGGTCAGGGAGAGGCTAAAGAGAGGGGTGGGGCCTTCCACGTACAAGGGAACAGAAACATTGTCTAAGGATGGTGAGGGAAATCCTGACCAATGAGAGAAAAGAATGCTCTGGAGGGCCCAATCTAGAGAGGAGACATCAGGGACTGAGCTGATGTGTTCTCCATTCCTGGCTTCTGGTGAACAGATCATTGAATCCAGTTACCAAACACAGGAGAAAGGAGCAATGTTCTTGTGGACACACACACACACACACACACACACACACACACTGACACACACAGGACAGCTGTGGGCGTCTCTGTGGGAAGAAATCATTGTCTCTATGAACCATCCAGAGAAATTGATTTCAAGGCAGGATCACTGATGGAATCTCTGCATTCCTGGCCAGTGGGGTCGAACGCATTGGAGCACCGTTTTCCGAGTCCAATAATTGGCAAAGGGAGGGAAGGAAGCCAGGAAGAGCCCCAAGGACTGAAGTTGCAGCCAATGGAAAAGAGAGTATTGTATCTATGGCAAATCCCAAGATTTATTACCTTGGAGATGGGTCATCTTTGATGGAGCACTGGAGTCCTAGTCACCATTCCCTTCCTGATGGGAAGAGAGCATTGCTCCCCAAGAAACCAATCCCAAGAGCAAACAGCTGTGCTAGGGAAGCTGAGTCAGGTGCCAAACCAAAGTAGTTGACTAACAGGCCAATGGCAGAGTCAGCACAAATGTCAGGAACTAACACTCAGAAAGAAGCAGGAGGTTGTGTGCCCTCGAGCCTCAGACTCTCTTCTCATGAAAATGTCCTCTTGCCCCCTTTAACTACCCTCTCCCTGAACCTCATCCTGCAGACAGGGGTTTTCATAGAAATGACAGTGACTATTTCATTACTCTGATCCCTGTGCTGTGTGACCTGCAGAGATGGGAACAATCTCTCTAATTGCTAACCCTCTGGGGTCGCCGACTGCCATGCCTCCAGCCCCTACAGGGGGTAACGGAGGAGGAAAGAAAGGGGTTTCAGAATGGTTAGTTCAGAAGTCCTTCCAACGGATTGGTTAGGAAGTCACTCACCTGGCACGAGTCAGCCCCGCTGCTGTCCCCTGCACAGATCATAGCCTCTGTGATTTTCCCAGGGTAGGCGTCTTCACACCGCTTCCGGGGAAAGATTTCTACTTCTGCACAGTTGAGGGTGTCAGGATAATTCGCTAAGGGGGTAGACGTTGTAAGTTCCCAGAGAGAGAGCAGCCCTTTCCCGCCATCCTTGTCTGGATCGGACCTTCCTTCTGGGCCACCGCAGCCGCACAGGGAAGTTTCTGACAGATATCTCAGATATATCATCATTTCTCACTATATTGAACCAATCCACGGTCCCTGATGTTTCCTTTTCTCTACCTAGAGTGGGACCATTGCACTCTACCTTTTGTTTCTTGCCCTGAATCATTTTCAAATTAAGAACAGGGGACTGGAGAACTCGGAGGTGCCCTTTTGTGACACATCTGTCCCCTCCTGTCCAATCTTCCTATACACAGAAAACACCAGGTTCTCAATATCAGCTAAATTCTACTTCTTCCAACTGTCACCTCCTCCTAGAAGCCTTCTCTGACTCTCTTAATTAAAACACCGTACCTGTATCACTCCTTAATCCTCTTACCATTCATGATATTTCATCATAACCCTTAACTCCACCTCCTATTTCATTTATATGTATTTGTTTGCTGTCTATTGCACCCACTCAGCATGCAACTCTATAAGGGACTCGCACACTACGTCATGTGGGGCCTGTAAGATCCTCACAAGTAAGTGTTGAATTAATGACTGGAAGTGGGATTCATCTTTCTTATTTGGCTTCAAGCAACCGACTTGAGGGGGAAAACATTTACAAGTCAGAAGCTACATGCTCACATCTCATTTAATCTTCACAACAGCTTTTGGAAGGAGGGATGGATTCATTCATTCCATCATTCACTCATCCGCATAATCACTCAACAAATATGTACTGGACACCACCCTGAGCACTAGGAACACCCAATGGGAAGAGAAAAAAAAAGATATAACATGAGTCCTTAAGGAGCTTCAAAGTCTATCATTTTGCAGGTGAGGACGATGAGGCTGAGGTGGGAAGGGACTTGTTCAGAGAAAAACGACAGAGCCATGGTTTGCATGGATCTGCCCAATACACGAGCAAGTGGATTTCCACAGCCTCCCACAGTCTCCCTAGAAGTGAGAGTCAGACAGGCAGGGACCTGAATACTGGCTTTGCTGCTTCCTGGTGAATCACTTCACCTCTCTGGGCTGAGCACCGATTTCTTCACTGTGAAGCCAGACAAGGGGCCACCTGGTCTCCTAAGTCCCAAAGGGAGGACCGCAATGGAAGTCCAGAGTTTTGGGTCCAGAATGAGAAGGGAGCTGGGAACCTAGATAGTAGGTCCCGGGACGGGAAGGGCCTGGAATGTGAGTAATCTGGAGCCAGTAGTTTTGGGTTCAAGAGAAAGAAATGGCTGAGAACTTTGTTTTCTTGGGCCACTGCAAATCCTTTGTATCCCACGTCCATTAATGAGATGATATAAAATCCTGCACAACAAAGGTCTCCGAGCGTGGTACTCTCCACCATAAAGGAGGGATGTATTTATTTATCCATTCATCCATTCATCCACCCATATTGCCGAGCCCTGCTTAACAATGTGTTTCTCTGCTCTCTCTCCCAGCACTCCTAGTAAAGTTCTGGCCTTCACTGTTCCTAACATGGGCTCCTTGTGAATCGCAATCCCACAGTCACTTCCCCTTCCTTATCACCGTTTAGTGGTAAAGTTTTGCCAATGGCTTGGGGTCCACTGGGCAAATCAGCTCCTCCTTCCCTCCAACTACCTTGGGGGCTGGTCACAGTGCCCCAGCCTGAGATGGTGCACTTCTGGCCAGCTTGAGCACAGTGATTTGTCAGGTTGATGGGCTTCACTGTAGGTCCTAGGGATGCTGGATTACGTAGTCGAATGAGCATCAGATCGTGGTTGTGGTCATCGCTGTCGTGGTTGTAGCAGGGGTGTTGGATGGACTGAGCCACAGCCCTTTCTTGCTGTGGCCCATCCTTACTCTGCAGACTATGGTCTCCCAAGTGTACTGTGTACCTCCTGTAATGATGGGAGTTAATTTGGGACCCAGACCCATCAGTATAGCTCCCTAATATCCCAGAGACCAGGCCCCCAACCCTTCCTCCCTCAGACCCAGAGTATAGGCCCCCAGTTCCCTCTTCTCTCAGACCTTCTCTCTTAGAGGCCTGGTCCCCAGCTCTCTCTTTCCTGAGGTGAAGCCACAGTGTCCTCTGTCCCCAGGCCCAGCCCACCTCTGCCCCAGGCATCCACTCACGATTTTTTACAGTGGGCTGCTGTGATGACCCACTGGTCACCTATGAGGACACCCCCACACATCAGCTGTTTGTCCTGGAATAAGGCTGTCTGCCAAGGTTGTGAATGGGCCTTGCACTCCTGACCCCCCAGCACCTTGGACTCCTGTGATCTCCAGTGTCCTGCAGCAGGAGGGAGAGAATCGGATTGCCACCCCTGGAGTAATGTAGTGGGGTTCAAAGGGACACACCCCAAGTTCTCAGCCTGCCTTCTCATGTGTCCACACACCCTCATATGTGGGGGTCCTGGCTTGCACATGCTGCCACACGGATACACTTGTACACTCATTGAAGTCCATGAGTCATCACACAGTCATGCACCTTAGCATGTTTCCACATGCTACCACATGTGTCCACATGTATCCACATGCATCCATGTGCTCCTACACTTCCATGTGTATCTGTGCCCCTCAGCAAGCAGCCCCACAGGCTTGGTGTGCTCGTGCAAATTTGCAGCATGACCTGGCACACTCTGACCTGCAGCCACCAGGGCCGTGCCTCCACCTGCCCCCGAAAAAGCCAGCCCACAGAAGCCCTCACATGCGATTGCATACTCCACGCATACCACACCCAGCCACATGCACCCACATAGCCACCACGGCATGCACACAGGCTCACACACGCCGCCGCTGCCTTCCGACCCTCCTCACCTGCACAGGCTTCCAACAGCAAGAGCAGGAACATCCAGGTGCACACTGCAGCAGGTGGTGGGCATCCCATGCTGGGGCCTGGGGGAGGGAGAGCACTGGGCTGAGAGAGGAGGAGGGAGGAGCCTGAAATCCTAGCAGGATCTTGGGATTGGGAAGGGAGCAGAGCATCCAGAATGTTCTACTGGGTCCTGCAGGAGGAAAGGGCTGGGACCCAGATTCTTGAGTCTGAAAAGAGAGGGTGCTGAGGGTCTGGATGCTTAGGTTCCCAGGGAAGAGGGAGTTAGGATCCTAGATTCCTCCCAAATCTTGGGGAAGAGGTGGCTGGGGCTCAGATTCCCGGGTGTTGAAGGTGGAAGGGATCTGAGGTTAGTCCTGAACCTGAAGGAGGAGGGGCCCCGGGTCCAGATGCCACCCTCTGAGAATATACGGAGCCCAGGGGGCGGGATCACCCACTGATTCGGACCCAGAGGAAGAGGCCCCAGTACTTCAGGTATCTGCCTGGTACAGGAATCTGGAGCCTTTTAACTGAGAAGCCCCGCCCCCTGCCCCGCCCCCTCCCGCACCTGAACCAGCATCCCTGGGCTTGAGTGAGGAGGGGCTGAGGGGCTGAAGGGACGTTCTTGAGGGAGGAAGGGCTGGATTCTCGGGGTTCAGAGGCAAGGGAGAGGACTCAGTGCTGTGACTGCTGGGTCTGAAACAGAAGGGACTGGGGCATCTGGGTCTGGGAGTGGACGGGGCTGGGGCTGCTGGATCCCGGGTCTGAGAAAAGGAGGGAGCGGGAGTTCTTGACCCCTGGGTCTGAATGAGGAGGTGGTGGGGCCTTGGACTGCTACATGCAAGGCACGAGAGAACTTGGGGCCCAGACTTTGGGACTGAGGGAGGAGGGGGGTTGCTGCTAGTAACCCCGAATAGAAGAAAGGCGAGTCTTGGTCTGGACGTCTGAAGGCGGATGGGTCCCGCCCGCTGTCCCCTGAGAAGTACAGATCTGGGAAGGCAGGTTTGGGAGGAACAGTGACCTTGTTTCTCCTTCCCCTGGGGGCGACGGGACCAGCCTGAGCAGAACCCAGGAGTCTTGCTGCAATAGGGCTGATGGGGTCAGACTTCAGGCAGGACCGACCAAGGGCTCAAGGGAAATTGTAATGCGGTGACGGTTCCTTATGAGCCCTCCACCGCCCACTGGTTGCCCTTCCTCCGTCCCACAACGCAGGCAGAAAGAAGAGACGGCTCCCCACTTTTATTGCAAAATCATCCATGGGATCTGAAGAAATCGAGACCCTCCCCTCAACTTCTCTCAGAAGGTCCAGAGCCAAATTCAAACCCAAAACAGGCCTGAAGTGGGGCCTCGAGGGGCGGAGCCAGACCCTGCCTGCTTCCAAGGGGGGGGGGGGGCTATAGCGCCCCTGACGTCACCGGGCTGCATCTCTTGCAGAGGAGGCGGGGACACACGGGGTGGAGTCCAGTGGGGACGTCTCATTGGGCAAAGTTCCTAGGGGAGGGACCGTTTGGTGGAGTGCATGCCTGCGGCTGAGCCACCAGGTGATGCTGTTCCCCTGGGTAGCGCCAGTTCTCGGTGAACGCACAGTCTGAGCCACTGAGGTAGAAGTGTCTCCCTGCTCCATCCCCAGGGGGTGGAGCCTAAATATCCAGAAGGCTTCTCCAGGACAGCTGAGGCCAAGGATGGAGACCACTGAGGCTGGAGCACCGTACCCTGCGCCCACCCTCTTCATGTGCTCGTCCAAGGCACCAGGCCTCAGTTTTCCTTCATCGTCTTTCTGATCCAGTGCACGTAGTGGCAGACGCTGCTATAGACGGCAGGGCGCCGTGGTCTGGAGCAGGGCTCCGAACCCCCAGACACCACACCAGCCAGAGTCCCATGGCAAACCAGCGGGCCCCCAGAGTCACCCTGTGCATGAGAGAAGAGCAGAGAAACTGTTAGACCAGTCTAATTATGACATTACACAGACCACTTCCTTCCTCCCCGGGGACCCCCAGTTTCTAACTCCCCTGACACCCGGATGTCTGAGTCTCTAGTCTCTCCTCCCTCAGACCCAGGAGTAAAAGCTCATAGCCTTCACCTCTCACCTGGACCCAGCATTCTGGGTTCCTAGCACCCTCTTCCCCCAGGACTTAGAGTCTGGGCCCCAGTTCCCTCCTTTTTTAGATCCAAAAATCCTGGTGCTGGTCCCATCCTCTCCCAGGACCCAGGTGTGCCAGCAGGGTACCCACCCTCCCCCCCACCCTCAGAGCCGGTCTCACCTGGCAGGAACCCCGACCTCCTTCCCACAGGCCGGCACAGAGCATGTGCTTGGAGATTTGGCCTGGGTATGCTCGACGGCAGAGTCTAGGCTCCAGGATGCTGATGTTGGCACACTGCAGTGTGAGTGGGTACTCCACTGTGGGGAAGGAGGTCACAGGGGATCAGCAGTTGGGCCATTAGTACTCAGCACACCCCCCTCCCATTTCTTGACAAGGACCCATGAAGCCACAGCATAAGATCCTCCAGGACAGAAATAAGAGACAGTGATGAAGAGACAGAATCATAGCATGAAAGAGAAGATGGAGAGAGGGAGGAAGAGAGAAAAATAGAAAGATGCAAAGACCCAAGACACACACACATAATTTGCATAAACAAAAATAGAAACTGTGGCAGGAGCTAGAGACCTCTTAAGGGGAAAGAAATTCACAGAGGAGGCCATGAAGAAATAGAAACGGGCCCAGAGATACCCAATGAGAAGGCTGCGAGTTAAAGGGGAGGTGACATTTATAAAGAGATGCTCACAGATACAGAGATTAAGATTTAGAGATACGAGAGATAGAGGGAATTACAGCATATAGAGACAGATATGGATATAAATATCCATATATCCATGTGTATAATGCATGGGTGCAAACTCAGATGCATCCAGGGGCTTGATGGGTAAATAGAAGTGGGTGGCCTGTTGTGACTTGGTCTGCAGGAGGCCACCTCCACTCTATCCAACATCGGTCACTCTTTTGGGAATGTGAGTGAGAACCTTGGCATTTATATAAAATCTCCCAGATTTTGGATGATGGCAGCAGCAATTCAGACTTTTTTTTTCAAGACACCTTGAAAACCAGCACTAATATGGGAAGCCAAATTTGGCTACTAGGTTTGTGACTCTGAGGGCCATACACATTTGGATTCTATGATATGTATATTTTCACATTTAAGCATCCTGAAGTCAGGATGTGTCTTCCAGTAAATGGTGTTACACAAGTATCAATGGGACCCCACCCCGTTCTCAGTGGGCTGTAAAATAATGATGCATCTTATAATTTATAGCATCTTAGATTTGATGGAATATATGGATGAATAGATAGATAGATCAATAGATAGAGGATAGAGATGAAAAGGTAGAGAAAGAGAATGAGGGGGATTTAGATCCTCAGCATAAGACATAAGGGAGTCTGTCAAGGGCAAGACTGTACCCATGGGGCTGGACACGGCCCCCCAGCCTGAGATGAGGCACTGGGTGCCTGGGGAGACACAGGTGTGGCTGATGTTGAGGGGCTGCACAGCAGGTCCCAGGCGTGCTTTCCTGGGCAGACGGATCAGCATGATGTCATTATTGTGGTCTTGGGCACTGAGGTCCTGGTTGAACTTAGGGTGGGGGAAGAAGTCCTTGACTCGTAACAGCTGCTCTGGCCCCTCCCATTTCCAGAGGTGGTGCTCTCCAAGACGGACCCACAGATACCTGCTGGAACAAGCCTCAGGGGTCAAGATGAGTGTCCACCAGGGTGTGGTGTTGCTCTCCACAAGCTACCTATCCTCTCTGGGCACCTATCATATGTGTGATCCAAGAGTGCTGTGTGATTTTAAGCAAGGCACACACCCTGTCTGGGCCTCTGCTCCCCACTTCATCCCTTTGCCTGCCTCTGCCTTTGTAGGTCTCCCCCAAAAGCTCACGCTCTTTCCCAGATCCTTCCAACTGAGCCACCTTCTTCCTCGCCCCACCTGGTGACTTGTTGGTGACCTGGGTCCCCTGGAACTGTGTAGGCAAATGGAAGCTCTGCCTGCAACACAGAAACAGCCCCACCTCTTCCCCCACAGGTTTGGTGGCTTCTGTGGGGAGTGGCTCTGTGTGTGCTCCAGTGTGTATGTATGGAGGGTGATGGGATATGGAAAATCCCCAAGTTTGGGGTCATCTGTGGCCTCAGGCATGTCCTGTCCTGTCCCCTCAATGCATTTCCTCCTGAGGGCTAACCTCAAGCTTTCTCACTAGAGTTCTAGTTTACTTGTTCTGTTCTGGGTCCATGCCCTGGACAGCTGGACACCTTGTGAAGGTCGACATGTCCACCTCCCAGCATCTGACCTCTCACATTAGGGACCAGGCTAATGACTGAGAACTCCGGGTTAGAGGAGTATGAGGTTATTTCTGTCTCCGTGCTTTTCTGTCACCGTGTTGTCTCTGCTCTGTATCTGGGAAATCAACCCTTCCTCCACCCCAACTCCTTCTTACCACTTAATCCCTTCTACTTCCATATCTCTTTGTTTCTCCTTCTTTGTCTTTGGGCCTGAAATCTAGCCTGGTATGCAGACATAGAGTTGAAAGAGGCCCCATCATGGAGCAATGCATGATGGGAAATTCCCACATAGCATCCTGTAGCAATGCCTGTGCTTCATTCCTGAAGGGAAGGACATCAGAACAGGGTGGACAGTTCCTTTCCAGACATATGCAGACAGGATTTCAGCCTCAGGTAGGTTCTAGCATTCTATTAGCAGGCCCAGAGTCTAGACTCTAGTATTCTAGGATCGAACACCCTAGGAATCCACAAATCCTAGAATTCTATTAGATTCAGGTTCTAGAAAGTTATGAATCCAAGATTGTACTGTTCTAGATTTTTTTTGATAAAAGAATTCTAGCATTGAAAAATTATCTGAATTAAATCTAGAACCCAATGAGCCTAGAATTGTAATATTTTGGGGACAATCTGATGAGAAAGTCATAATTCTAGAATTCTATAAATATATCATTTTGGTTACTTAAAAATCTAGTATTCAAATAGTTGAAAACTCTAGAATTCTCTGAATGAAAACTTTGGGGATTT